TAACGGTAATTTTCATTGGATAGTGATGACGTCATTTATTATCTACACAAAGCTGAAAAATTATGTATTATTTTTTATTTAAAATAAAGTAAACAATATGCATGGATTAATATACTGAATCTGTTGGGAAATCAGAGAGTCTTCAAACAAATTCGGTAATAGACGAAAAAGGTGCCTTCAGTGTAATTGTTTTGTGCACTTTTTTTTGAAGAAAATCCATTCAATATTAGAAAAGAAATATTGATGAAATTTCTGCCAGAATCAGTGCTGTCTTACATAATTTTCCTTCTGGAAAAACTTTGTCGAATTGCTCTGTAGGTAGACCTACTCAAACTAGTTTGAAATACTGAGGTGTTTCTGGTGAAAGAAAATGTTTATGCTTGTTGTTCAATATGAATCTTTTTGATTTATAGATATATAACATATGCACCATTTATATACTCATTTAAAGGTATTTATCGTAAATATTGAATATATCTGCGATCAAAGTGAGAATTATTCTATATTTCCATTCTTAAAAATATTTTAGTTCATTTCTCTCAGTGAGATATTTTTCATATTCACCATCGCAAGCAAATTATCTTTATATGTCTCTCTATATATAATATTGTCTTGATGAATTCGACGAATAGCCCAGTTGTTCCCTCTTACATTCATATTTTAAAGTACAAAAACTAACCATCACTTGCATCGCTTAACTGCCTATTAAATACTTTTGTATTGAAGGCTTTAAGAATTTATCTGTATGATTTATGCATTAATTGTTTCTATAAGTTGATGCAATAACAGGTCAAGTATGCTTATTTTATATAATCAGCGCTCGTATTACACTAGCTGAGTACGCTATCAGGCCGAATAGCTAAGCTAGAAAATGTTTGTTTTGGAAGTAATTTACAAGCTTTTAAGTGTTTACCATTAAACAGAAAACCATATGTCCAGTAATACCAAAGTGTTAATGTCTTGTTATCAGTGAAGAGAGATCAGTTTGGATTGATTCTTTTTTTCTGTAGGAGGGAATTTATCAATTTTGTAAGTTTAACAATTTTTAAGTTATAAAATGCTACACGTTTAAATAATAGTTATATCATATCATGACAAAGTGCATGAAAAGAATTGTTATGAAACTTAGCAGTGATAGTACTGGCTAAATGACAACTCAGATATTTAGCTGCTGTACGTCAGTGTTTCCTTAGACAATAATGTTCGTTACGTATTTTGTTTTTGTTTGACTGTTTACGTCTGTGTTATATGTGTTTAATATAAGTACATTTTACCAGTACAACAATAATTATAGATAAGATAAAGCGGGATACCGCATACCTCCAGATTTCAGCAAAGCATACCATTGTCATTAAAAAAATATCCCTTAGCTGATGTTGTAATATGTATAGATATATTAAACATTGACTAAACATTTAAAAATGGGGCGTTTAAAGTTTCAGAATCTTGGTGAAAATCAGGATTTTAAAGTTTTATAGACGCCATGATGTGCACTTGAAGTAATTTACGAACTTTTCTTTCATCATCTTATAATTAGTTCTGCTGTCTTTTATTTTGCACCGCAATGCTACTGTTTGATTTATTTTGTAAAGTGTGAGCGACACGCGCGAACTACTTAAATGAATGAAGTAAAGGCATTATATTCTCAAGTACTAGGTCTTGATACAGATGTTTCCGCTGCCTTCAAGCTTTATTTAGACATTAAGACCTGTCAGAAACTGCTAGTACCAAAATATAACAAAAGTACTTGTTCAATTTTAGCACACTTATATATGTTTATAGACTCGTATTTATTGTAAGTTACATAAAAACAACTTTATAACACCTTGAAGTTATATTGCTTGTTAACATGTGAACAATTAACGGTAATGATAAAAAAACTAATTGTGAAAATAAAGTACAAAGATGAACTCACGTTCACTAATAATACCTGCTGTACATACATGTATCAATATTTTAATAAAATTTATTGTTCATTTTCTGTAAAATACAGAGACTTTTAAAGTTGCGATATCATAAAGTCTTGTGTTGTTGTTGTTGTTGTTGTTGGTTTATCAAATTCGTTTTGACAAAATAAGATTTTTGGGTATTTGAAATTCTAACAATGCGAAATCGTGAAAAATGTCAATTTAGGTTTTCCGTAATAAAAATGCAGGTAATAGGTAAATATTTTGCACCAGAGTTATAATTCTACTTGACTTTTCAATAGTTGTGCAATTAAAGTTAAATATTCTTTGTATCGAATATGTCTGGTTTTGGAAATATTGTACAGAAAAAGAAAATGTTCTCGTTTATATGTAACAGGGAGTTGCATTTAATGTGTAGGAGTGATAAAAAAAACGCTTTATCAGTTAAAACACGGAAAAAAATCTTAATTACGGAACAATCCCGAGAATGTAGAAAATGTGTACTTCAAATGGATGCTATAAATTAGTTACTGTGATTTAAAGGTTTAATATAAAGATAACCTTAACAACGTTGTCGCCTTCAGATAAACCCCTTATTGTAAAGAACGAGTTGTAAATCCATGTTTAAATTTACATTTCTCATTGATTATCAAGCAAACTTAAGATCAAATCAATGTCATTAACATCATATTTTATATTCAACAAATACACGTGCAAGGGTTTAAGCAAATAATAAAACTCTGCCGTGTAGCTAAAGTATAGATGTACAATGACAATAAGTCTTTTCCGACTTCCTTCGTTATATAAATGATAATAGTGTTGAGCCGTTATATGAATGATAATGATATCAAGCTCTTATATAAAATGATGATGTTGACGAGGCCTTATATAAATAAAAATGATGTTGAGTGGTTATATAAACGATAATAATGACAATCCGTTTAGTGTTCATAAGAAACAAAATCCCCACCCATATATACAACACTAACCACATAAACATAACCCCCACCTATATACACAACACCAAACACATAAACATAATCCCAACTCATATACACAACATCAATCACATAAACAAAATCCCCACCCATAAACACAACACTAACCACATAAACATAATCCCCACCCATAAACACAGCGCCAACCACATAAACATAACCCCAGCTCATATACACAACATCAATCACATAAACATAATCCCCACCCATAAACACAGCGCCAACCACATAAACATAATCCCAACTCATATACACAACATCAATCACATAAACATAATCCCCACCCAAATACACATTACCAATCACATAAACATAATCCCCACACATATACACAACACCAACCACATAAACACAATCCCCACACATATACCCCACACATATACACAACATCAATCAAATAAACATAATCCCCACACATATACACAACATCAATCACATAAACATAATCCCCACACATATACACAACATCAATCACATAAACATAATCCCCACACTTATACACACCACTAACCACATAAACTTAAGCCCCACCTATAAACACAGCACCAACCACATAAACTTTAGCCCCACCTATATTCACCACCCATACACACAAGCCGCATATTTATACTAACACAAGTGTCACCTTTATAATTTACCCTCGCCCTGTACATGTATCCTACCTCATTCATATATTCATTTATTTTCATGATCTTAAGTTTTCTATAGACGAATAAACCTTTTTATAGTTAAACGGTCGTTTTACAGAGCCCAGAAGGAAATAATAGTTTTTCACTACACTGAAGTGTTTTCATAGAAAGACAGACAGACATACAGATAGATATACATTTATAATTTTCAGAAAGACAAACGTGACTGCCAGTTTATTTAGATTGATCTATACCTGCAATAAATATTAAATAAAGATTTGAAAATGATCGATAATACGAAATGACAGGACGCATAGCGACTTTCATTGTTAACATTAATTTGCATATGTACATTTGATGTTATATATGTTAGCAAAAAAATGACCATGAAAATGTATATCACAGCAAAACACATTATAAATACACTTTTCTGAATCAAGATATAACTTATAAGTTTTAGAAGTCTTGGCTCTTTCTCATCCAACAGATTTAATAGGTTATTTTCTTGTTACGGTTTAAATTCATGTCTACGTAACTGCAATACCTAATTAAACATGTATATATATACATGTATATATATACAGTCTTCTGTTATTTCATGGTTTGCCATTCAAACTATTATGGTCAACATTGATAAATTTATAAATTTAACTATCTAACTTTTTAAACTGTAGTATCGTGCAGATCATATGGTGGGAATGTTGTGTACATGTACATTTATATGCCTCACTTGCGTTTTAATCGTAAATAAATGAAGTAAGAAAAAAGTACGGTGATTGTGTAATGATAAAGAATCGTCAGTGTCATTGACTGTATATTATCATTTGTTTCATCTAATTGATAGAGATGACTCTACCATGTATACTATAATGTAATTGTCAATTAACTTACATAAACTTACAATGTGATATGTGAATAAACCGTTTCAAATGGTAATGAAAATATATCTGGATTATTAAATATAGAATTTTACACTTTGTATTCATTGAATTCATTTACTTTTATTTCTTTCTTTCTTCCCGACTGTTCATGGATATAATTATTTTGTATCGAGCGAATCACCATGTACAAATATTTTGGATTTACTTGAAACGGACGAATCCCGAGTGAAAATACGACTTATTTGATAAGAGAAGATAACAGGTTTCCATGTGGATATAAATTAAAGAGTTCCTGGTTACTTTATCAGTGAATGTACACCCTTGAAATATTTCATTAACTCTTTCGTCGATATCAGAACCTGGTTTGAAGGTCATTGTATAAATGATTTATTTGTGGTTTTTATATTGAATTGTATTCGTTCAGCGTTATACTGGACACATTTGATTGATGAAGTTTTCTACGAAGTGTTTAAATGTAAGATTAAGACAGTAATTAACAATTACCAGTTCAGTGTGTTAGATTAATCAAACTTTTTTATAATATAAAACATTCTATAGACGTGTTGTTGTTTTTATTAATTGTAGCTCCAGGAATTAATTTTGTCTGGCGAACTGCCATGTTCAAAAGAAGAAGCTGCAACATTGGCGGGTATCCAACTTCATTTAGAGGAGGCGTGGCCTGAAAATGAGATGACCAATCATAATGGGCCTTACAGGTTTATTATAGAAACATTCTACTTAATTAGTATAGTAATATTTATGTCTTTAAAATATATTTAATAATTAGTTGTCATTTAATTAACAAATTTATACATCAATTATTTATAGTATAAGTAAAACTTGTTTGACCAATAAGATTGTTGGGAATTTTATAATCTGAAAATCTTGATTTTAACAAATGAAGTGTATGTTAGAGTGGTTCTAAATCGGATAACACACTGATCAGTTGACTGCTCTTCTTATTACCTTCTATTTACTTAATTATACACATTTACGTCTTTATCTGATATAGAACTGTCGTATATATCTCATATAGAGTTGTCGTTTATCATCAATTAAACAGCTCGTAAACATTATTCTAAGAATTTTATAGTGACCTATTCTATATTGTATGTATCGTGTTTGAAGTATTTTAGTGTTTAACCTTCTTGATGATTAAACGAGATTATAAACATTCCGATAGTTTATATAAATTATATGTTTATAGCGAGGCTTTGATTAACAGCCCGTTTCATTATAACGAGACTTGATGTTTTATCAAAACAAATGACTTAATTTGTTATCCTGCCTTTTAAATAAATTACTTAACCAATTTATTGATAGTTTTTTTATATACTAGTAAGGTTTTTATTTTATATATAGACTTGTCGATAAAAAGATGACAGACCAGGCCAGGAAGAGTTCCAGCAATGAAGAAAAACAGGAAAACCTTAGGAAAAAGAAAGAGTTGATCCGAAACAATAAAGCAAGGGGGATCACTCTAAGTAGACGGAAGGGGAGACTTGTCCGGCAATTATCATGTATGAGTGACAATGAGCCTGATAGCCAAGTCGAGATTGATTTAACAAAATATCTACCACCGCATTATACGACTTCCAAAAAAGTGAAAAACCTTATCGAAGTAAGAAACCATTTAGTAATTTTGTAATAGTATTTTATCGTTACATACAGCTGATTCCAAAATTTTCAACGTCACATTGTGTGCTTGCCCAAGTTAACAACGTCACATTGTGTGCTTGTCCAAGTTAACATCGTCACATTATGTGCTTGTCCAAGTTAACAACGTCACATTATGTGCTTGCCCAAAATAACAAGGCCACATTATGTGCTTGCCAAAGTTAACAACGTCACATTATGTGCTTGTCCAAGTTAACATATGTGCTTGTCCAAGTTAACAACGTCACATAATTCTCGTGCCCAAGATGCTTTCACGTTGGCGATATCTTGGTATTATATATTCAAAAATATTTATATTTATATTAGTCTCAAAAATCACCTAAATAATATTTGTAGAGTTTGATTTGACAGTACATTGTTTTAATACCTAAAGGTTAATTGCGTTTTTACAATTCTTGGTTCGTTTTTGTCGTGATGATAATATCTTTGTTATTTAGATCCTGTAACACAAATTTTTGTATGGTTTTATATAATGTTCATACCATATTGTGTAATATATTGACAAATATACAACATATATATTATAATTATTGTATGACGTTATGTTTTAGGAGAAACAGAAGAAGTTATGGCATACACCGTTTTATGACAGTGAAGTTCAACTTAAGAGTCTGTATATCAAAATATGTAAAAATCTGCCGGGATATGCCTGTAAACTTTACCATGTGAAAGAAATACTGAAAGGAAATACCCAGAAAAAGGTCAGTTTATGAGGATAAAAAAAAACTCAGATAAAGCAAACGAACATACATACAGGTGGTAATATATTGAAGAAAAAACACAGAAATCTGTCGTGCCTTAATAATCGTGATCTAGATGATTCAGATTTTTATTAATCTATATTGATACGTGCTGTCATTGAGGTGTGCTGTAACAAGCATGCACATGTAAAATGTACATATATATACAAGTACTATTACCCGGCGTATATATTTGCTGCATAAGTTACATGTACTTTAAATTATTATATTTCCTATCTTTATATGAGCCGCGTCACGACAAAACCAACATAATGGGTTTGCGACCAGCATGGACCCAGACCAGCTGCGCATCCGCGCAGTCTGATCAGGATCCATGCTGTTCGCTTACAAACCCTATAACAAATAGAAAAACTGACAGCGAACAGCATGGATCCTGATCAGACTGCGCGGATGCGCAGGCTGGTCTAGATCCATGCTGGTCGCAAACCCATTATGTTGGTTTTGTCGTGACGCGGCTCATATGTTATTGATATGACTAACACTTTATGACAGTAAATCTTTTTTTCTGAAATCAACCGTCAATAATATCATCTCTAAATTGATAAGTCATGCGAATACAGTTACATGTACTATTATTAGGTGTATCACTTCTACAAATTAAACTAAACCCGATTGATATTAATATCGTTCGACTTTTTTTTATCAAAATAATTCGTCTTTTTCCTCGCTATGTAAGTATTAGATTGTGACAACTGACTGGCAAGTTTTATTTTATATTTCAGGTCAGCCGACTCCTCGGTATTTCCAGCGAAAGAGTAATTTTGTTAGATAACAAAACAAAAATTTTAGCAAAATCTCAAAATATTTCCGATTTGGACGAGTGGCGGACCGGAAGCGGCAAAGCACAAGACGGGCTGGTTCTGGAGTTTCGTGGAACAAAAATATGGACATTATCGATGTTATCCCCTGACAGTCTAAAATCTGTCACTGCTGTATTGTGGGATGCATTAGACATGCATGGGCGGTTTTTAAATAGTACAACGTTGAGAAGAGAAAGTTTTGAATTCGGTTAGTTCCTAAATGTTTTACGTTTACTTATAAGAAATGAAGTTTATGTTGGTTTGACTTTTATTTTAGCCTGCTAGTCTTAATTAATAAGAAATATCAGATAATTTTGAACTATCATGGACAATGTTGTAAAATCAACGTCCTGATAAAAACCTGTATCTGTTCAGAATAGGTAAAAGTTTTTATACATTAATACACAATTAATATTTTTTATATATAAATACACAATTACTATCTTTTAATCAAACTGTAATCAGGCTGCGCATTTGTTTCCAGATTTTCAGCGTAAACAGTTGACATTAGCACCAGATGACGAGGGATGTTCTAAATACACGAAAGAGCTCGAGGGCCTTCAGAAGATTTTGCATTTTCCGGAAGAAGTCGCGGTCTTGTTAACGGAAGTTGAATCTCGTCTGTTTCTAAGCGTTCCACCAGCAGATTACATACGCCAAGTGACCCTTGACCTAAGTCGGGGAGCAAGTACAAACTCAAAGGTGTCAAAGGTTGAAGATCTCATCCATAGATTCAACGAGGTATTGTAATATTTCCACATACACCAAAACTCTATTACAGGCACAAAGATAGTTTTTATTGTTTGCCCAATTAACATATTTTCAATAAGTAACAATTTCTATGAAAGCCAATAATCCTTGAATATCCAAGTATGGATAAATTTTGAATACAGAAAAATGACTGCAAGTTTTGTCATAAATTTGAATTTTTGTTTTGTTTAGCAGAAACAAGTAAGTTGATATATCGTCTGATAATTTATATTTCATATTTCAGGTGAGCACGTGGATCACACAGTTGATTATCACTCAACCAACACATGATAACCGGAAGGCCGTTTTGTCGTGTATACTAAGATTACTACATTACTGTTGGTGTCTTGGAAACTTCAACTCCGCCATGGAAATTCTGGCAGGACTTAAGTAAGTATATCTATATTGTTTATTTTGTTTTGTTTTTTTTTATACCGTGCACCAACACAATTTAGGTCATATGGCGCCGAAACAGGAAAGATGATTTTGGCTAATCTAGGGTGTTACAAACTTAAAGCAACACCAGGGATCAAAACCACCTAACCTGTTGGAGTTAAGAGATGCATAGACTTCAGTTATTCGAACCGATTTAATCACCTCTTACGATCACGCAGTGATAGATAAACGGTGGATGCAATTCTGTTGCCTCAACCCTTAAAGGCAGCCCCTCAGCCACAAGAGGATAATTATATTGCTTTTCACGGGATGAGCACAGCAGTTATCTGTTTATTTTGAGAGTGAATATTTTAGTTGTTACTTCAATGAAATATTTGTTCGCATCACTTACCCTTAAACGTATTTATATACAGATCAGAAAAGCTGAAACCGTTCTGGTTGCTGTTGTCAGAGGAAGATTTATCTACCCTTCACACGCTGTCCGCCGCCATGTTTTCCCGTGAACCATCAATGGAATACAAGGACGCTGTTAGTGCAGCATTGGACATACACGAGTGCAATGTAGTTCCATACTTCGGAGGATTCTTGCGCGACATCCGGGCGGTGGTGATGTCGTCACCAAGTATTGTAGTACTGCCATCAACAGACGAAGACCACTCGTTAGAGGTAACTTTATCTTTGATTTCTTTGATCTTGATTTTAAAGAAGTTTTTTGTCAAGCATTGATGTTCAATAGTACTTAATTACGTGCTCTGTTAGTTAATTAATTATTTAAACACTGGAAAGTTACCAGAACATTTATATTGATTCAATTAAACTTGCTATCAGTTATATCAAAACTTAGATTTAAATCCAACATAGATTTTTTCTCATGTGTATGGTAGTTTTAGGGAAATAAAAACATGATTAATTCATCCGAGGTAAGTATGACTTTATAATTTTATAACTGTATGGTATAGTACATGTCGACTTATTGTGTGATTTCAGAACAGAAAAGATTGGTGTTCTTTTTTCAATCGAAATGAAGTTTTTCTTTCTGATATTTAAATTTCAAATGAAATAACACCATATATAGGAAAGAAACAAAATGAGCTTTTTACGACAGATTTTGCGCTTTTTTAAAGAATGGCATGATTTTAATTAGTATGAGTAGTAAGAATATATTGTTCGATTCCAGTTTATATCGGACTATCATGGTGAAGACCGGTTTATGACGAGAATCGGTGTGGGAGGGCTTATCAACATAGAGAAGTTAAAGAAGGCTCATGCAATATTGAGTGATATACAACTATTCCAATATCACAATAATCTCGTCGTGGAGCAGGATGAACATTCATATCTCCGGGCTTTATCTAATGAACTGTAAGTATTTAACTCCCCATTATGACTATAGCACCAATTTTATTTTCATTTCTGCGCAGATCGACTAAACTCACCAAACTATAAAAAAAGTGCTTAATATAAGCAATATGAATTTGAAATTGTTTTAAGTGAACAACTTACTTTATCGTGATCAAAGTTAGGTTAAGGCTTATAACATTTTACAATACCTATAACTATGATAAAGTTATTTGGAGATCCTGGGATGTTCTTGCATGCAAGTTACATTACCAGAATCGTTAACATACAACATAAACATTCATTGGTCTCAATTGTCGGCTTATGTAAAAATTTAGGTATATTTTATTGCTGTGCTGGAATTGTTTTAAACAAAAAGTTATTTTACTAGTTTAATTCTGTTCACTTTCAGTGAAACCTCCATTGACAATGTACTTGTTTATAAATCATTTCGAGGAAACAGACTGTTATGTAATCATAATTTCTAGCCGGAATAATAATAGCTTAACGATGAGGTAACAAATCATTAAACACGGATATAACCTGGCTTTCCTTTACCAGGCTATATCGTCGTCACAGTGGTATAGCATAGCATGATCTATTTGATTCATTATTCAATCTTACATGCTTCTTAACTCTGTTTTTTCTTATAAAACCACTGTACTTTGTCCTTCAATCTGATAATACCACTGTAATAAATGGAACCAAATATGGCGGTACATATGTGCAAACTCGTGAGTTTCGTCAGAATGAATTGTATCAAATCAGTAAGATATCATACATTATAAGTGTAATACGAAATGTAGTTTTTTTTATATAAGAACGAATATTCTTTTCATAATTTTACAGAGTTGACGAAGTTTTCTACGAGGCTGGCGATTCGCATGAAAGTGACACTGAACTTGATTTTGAATCCTATCAACCAATCAAACAGCTTTGTAGTGGTCATGACGTCATGATAATAACGCCATCTTTTGCCCGTCTAAGTCACCAATGTTTACAGTTCATTAATCAAGGAAGTACGCTTGTCCATTTGGAGGAAGAAAGTGGTCGAGCTTGTATGTGTTTCTTAAGACTTGAGGCTGACAATGCCACACTTACATGGAAAAAACCGAACTGGAGTGCTTTACGCGGAAATATATCAAGCCTTCCGGATTATGTATTACGCGGAGATTTCGATTATAGCTCAATACAAGCAATGTATACGCGATACTGTAGTGGTGAAAATGTGTTTGATTCAATGGAAGAGGGCTATTTGGATTTAACAGTGATTAAAGATGTCAGTTGGGCCCACGAGGACGATATCGATCTCTCAACTACATCCAAACGATATGGACTTGAGGATATAACTCCCGAAAAAAATTGTATTTGTTTAACATATGGTAGTTCATTAGCTGAAAATAAACATCTTCATTTCGTGGGACCAAAAAATGTTGTTAAAACATGGTATCAGGGACTCCAGACTATCTGTCTTGCTGTGAAAAAGTTACACAAACAGACGGACAAACGAATACAGTGGTTAAAGATGCAATATTTACAACTGTTTTATGATAGTGAGAAATGCCAGGGCCCAACCCCTGCTGAAGCAATACGGGTAAGAAAAACTGTCGCACACACCTAAAAAGATTTCATTTATTGCTGTAAAGTACAGACTTAATTTCATTTCATACCTATAGTTGTTTAAACATATATGACAAAAAAATGGATAAAAGTATAAAAAAAATACCACAATTATTATAGAAGTCAATCTGACTAAAGTTCAGATCTTCTTATGTCTACATGTAAACTATATGTACTTAAGTCAAATTGTTATTTAAATGTAACAACGTGGACATAATACTTAAACATTAAAATACATGCACTATTGGCACAAACATATTTATATTATATATAACTCAGTATGTATTTAAAATTGAAATTTGATTTCTATTTCAATATGTTTATCTTCCAGGTATTTGGTGGACGACGATGGACGCCCGGGGGTCCTCAGGTGAGCAACACCCTCACAGAGAATACCTCGTCCTTTAAACGTACATCCAGCTTCGTGATGGGCTCAAATATCTTCAAGAAGAAACCTTCCAGTACATTTCAATCAACAAAAGTAAATATATTTACAGTTCGTTCTTGAAACGTCTGCATTTTCTTTACCCTAATAATGATAATATGATATGGATTAATAATGAAACAAAACTTGATATTATCTAAGATTAAAGAAATATTGAAAATACAGATTATACAAATATTTTCGTTAGAAGATTTTTTCTTGGGTCGTACTGTCATAATTTAGCGTTCCTGTATGATTAGCGTGATTTATAATACGTAATTTTTTAGGTTCTTATGATAAGTGTTTAATGTTTTGGCATTTGAATAGACAGGTGTTCGTTGAATACATTTATTAAATTTATCTGTAGAGAAGTTCAAAGAAGTTGTCGTAACATTTTAAATAAAAGATTTTGCCACTTTGTCGCATTGCTGTTCAGTTGTTTATATTTGATAACAGAAACAGTTTTTGTAACAAGTTTTATTATAAGGTATGGACTTTTTATGCTACATTTCTATCAAGAGCAGTGTAATCACATTTTAGTAATTTCATTAACATGTTTAACTTTTTCAGGAAACTAGTCCAAAGCCATCTCAAACACGTGAAGGCTCCAGTTCAAGTCTCAGTAAAAGAAATAAACGATCTCCGAGTCCACAATCCCGCAGTACGCGAACTAGTCTCGGAAGTAATGTGTTAGCATGTGACACTAGCAGTGAAACAAACGTAAACATTCCTTCACCGAAAGATGGCGCCTCTCGTTCTCAGAGTCACCCGTGCACGTCCAGTTACATCACTAGGTACAGAACACGACGGCGCACGAGCGTTCTCGGCAAACATTTAGTGGGAGAGAATAAGAATAATTCCATTACACATTCGACACGGTTGTCTTTCTTTGACTTTCTTGATCTGTTCAGATCGTTCGCTCTTCGGAGTAGAAAAGACTTGAGAGATTTGTTCGAACAATTTGCAATAGCAAAGCCAAGTGGTTTAAAACAAGGGAGACAATACACACATTCCGTCACTAGTGATGCTAGTAAGTATTATACATGTACAGAAATTGATCCGGATATCTGCGATTATGTATTCAACATAGTCGTTATTGTTTTATTTTCCCTTTCAGGAAATATATATAGCCTTGCCCTTCTTGCTTATTCTTGACAAATATTTTAAGATTTACTCCTCAATGCCAATCTGTAACTGATACAGCATCATTATATAGTTATGTCCCTTGCTTCAGTTTCAGTCTTATTAAACGCTGAAGAAAGAATATGTCAAGAGAAATTATTCTCGTGAATAAATGTTTATTTAAGATGAAGGTGAATGAATCAGATAAATTATTGCAATTATCATTTAAAGATAATCACGAACATGGTTCATGTCAAATTTAGCATACATATTCTCTTGGGATATTACTTTGTATATTTGTAAAGACCAGTTGATTCAGTTAATTAGCAACGTACTAATGCAATTAATATAGTTGGTGTCTTTTTACTTCAAATATATTTTTTCCTAATTCAATGTCTGTTTTTCTGGAAATTTTTACAGTGTGGAGGATGAAATTTTTACCAGTTTGTGTTCAATATATCAAGATAAATTGTCAATCTAACAAATCAGCTGTCTGATGATACTTCATCAGTTAAAGTGCTGATTAAATGTTATATCTGTCTAGCCCGGAGTCTACGAGACAATCCAAACCACTAATCTCTATGGTAACAAGTTTTAAAGAAAGAACTAATCAAATTGTATACTAGATTGTTTTATACTACAGACAATTTTACAGGAGCTTTGGTCTAAGATAACCGTGAAAACGTGTCGTTTATCTGCTTCTTTGGCTGGTTAATCAGAAAAGTTCCTCACAATATTAGATAAAAAAGAAATGACATTGTAGAAAGTATAGGACCATTGTAGATTGTAATGGCGATAACAAAATCGAAAAGTATTTTTTTTTTTTTTCAGACATTCTTACAAGAAATACGAGTTATGATCTCAGTCATTCCACTGACCCATCTTATGTCCAGCGCCGTAAAATATGTGACGCCATTGCTGTGGCGAGTATATTCGAGAACTGTGCTGGTGTAGATACCTCACAGAACCGATGTTTGAGTCTCAAGGAGTTCCGGGAGTTTCTAGAAGACTACCAGGAGGAGCATCTCGACGACACGGATATTTTATCTCTTATCAGGGTACATAACTTATGTTTAAACCCCTAGAAATATTCTATAAAGACTTCTAACATTGATATTATCCAAGCTATATTGAACTTAGTTATTATATTTATTATCTTAGGATCCCGGATGTAACATACTTTGCAGACTTGTTACTTTGTTTAGACGTTGGCTCTCTTTGTCAAATCAGTCTTAAAGACAACCTTGATTATATAAACCCTAGGCTTTAAAGCTAAATCTTTTAAAAAAATAGTTTGCGTTTTACAGATTTAAGATAATTATAGAATATTTTGCTCTTAACCGTCTAAATATACCTTGTACTAGTAATAATGATCTAATAAACTATATAATCTTCAACTAAGGAATAAATTTTGTTTGATGACCATGTTTATTTCTGTAGAAACACGAACCGGATACAGTACTTAGAGACAACGGGTTCTTGTCATTTGAAGGGTTCGCTAAATATTTGATGGACAAAGAAAACTTCGCCTATCTTTTCGAGAAAACAAAACATAATGACGAGGTACATTTATCTTTATGTTATAATTCTGTCAGTTGTCCTGTTTTCTGTATTTACTACATATAAAAAATCTTGTTGTATATGTCAATCATAACGATACAGTATATCACGGACTTTAATTGGCAATTAAAATCTCTGAGTATATGTAAACATACATAAAAATGAACTTTATTCGGATTGGGTAAAGTTGTAAGATATTTCTTGTCATGATTAGAAATTATGTTTGTTTTTTTATGTTACATGTATGGTACTTTAAGGTCGAAAGCTTCTGTACCAAAAAATGTTTACATGTTTATCTGTAAAGATGTGTAATCTAGTGCCATGGACGCCGGAAATATACATTGCACATGTAACGGTCACTTATAGGGGATTATTTTCAACCTGTGACAATGGATACTCTACAGGATACAATGGCGGTTTAAATATAGCTCGGAGTTTTATACGTGAAACTCTGCCCCTTTTTGGAATTCGAGACCTAATTTCAACATGGCGGAGGAGTAAGACACAGTATAAAACTCTCGAGTTTATGGGAGAAAATGTGTTTATAAGCGACCCGGTAACTTAGTTGATCTAGCTATTGGTCGATGTCCTGTGCTCGAGTCAAGATAAGGCTGCATATTTTCACCCCTGTGACATATAATATAGATATATGGACTGTATCCCTGTCTCATATTAAACATATGAGCCGCGTCACGACAAAACCAACATAATGGGTTTGCGACCAGCATGGATCCAGACCAGCCTGCGCATCCGCACAGTCTGATCAGGATCCATGCTGCTCGCTTACAGACCCTATAACAAGTAAAGAAACTGATAGCGAACAGCATGGATTCTGATCAGACTGCGCGGATGCGCAGGCTGGTCTGGATCCATGCTGGTCGCAAACGCATTATGTTGGTTTTGTCGTGACGCGGCTCATATTAAACATGTTGTGGGTTTATTTTAGGATATGGATCATCCACTAGCGCATTATTACATTGCCTCAAGTCATAACACATACCTTACATCACATCAACTAAAAGGTGACTCGTCAGTTGAGCTTTACAGTCAGGTAACATTTTATGTCAATTGAATTTCATACAATTTTTACATCTATATGACTTATCATCGACTTTGAAGGGTTGGAATATTTATGTCAGCTTTAAATGCAGTTGACGGTATAATGTTTTGAATATTCTATCTAAGACATTACACGATTCGTTTTTCATTAAGCATTTCTTAAGCCAGAAATTTCATAGCCATTAAAATTTTATTTGTGGTTTTATGTTTACTACAGACTTAAAGGCAAACAAAATTAATCTTTACTTCTGTTATCTTGACAGTAAATATATGTGTGTTGGTTTATTTCTTTTATACTTAAAAGGTATATACAGGACCCATAAAAATATTAAATAAATGTTGTATTCTTTGTCCTGTATATTTATAATTTTATTATATAGATATTATTATCTGGGTGTCGTTGTGTCGAGTTGGATTGCTGGGACGGTGATGATGGACTTCCTATTATATATCATGGACACACACTGACCACAAAAATATCATTCAAGGTAATCACACGGTTTCTTACTCAACTTTACACCTGAAATATATATTAAACTTCGTGGTGAAGTATCGGTAGAAATGATATGACGGTGGTAATAAATTCTTCCTGAAAAATAAATCCATAAATCTGTTACAATTAAAATGTATTCCTACAGACGAAAGTCGGGCTAATGTATGTAATTGCTTGTAGTGTTCATAACTAGGAAAGAAAACACAATTGTCAAACCTTTATGCTGATTTAAAGCTAGGTTTTGTGAATATATAATTCTGTGATTTCAGTTGGTGGTGGAAGCCATTAATAGGAGTGCATTTGTGACGTCACCATATCCCGTGATCCTCTCGTTAGAAAATCATTGTTCCATAACACAACAACAAAAAATGGCGCATATATTCCGAGTAAGTTATTGGTTTAAATAAATTAGTAATAATTGTAAAAACATGTAGTTCGTGTGTTATTGTTTGCTGTAAGATATTTCCATTGCATAGTTTACTGAAATAAAAATACATTTTTTAAATTTTAACTCGTTATTTTTAACTTACTCCCACTCCCGCACATGTTTTTAACCAAAGTGAGAAAATGCTGCAGCAGCGGCCCTTCACTATACTGGAAGAAGAAGAAGGGGAGGCAATATTTTCAATATGTTGTCTCGAAACACATTAGTTCAATGGTAAAATTTATTTCAAACAAAAAATGCAATTGATTGAGTGAAACGTGTAAACGAATTATGTGAATAATTTCTAGGAAAGAAATATAATCCTAGATAGAGATTATGATATAAATCTTCAATTATTTTTTTTCGCAGACGATATTTGGAGACAAGTTGGTCACACAGTTTTTATTTGACTCGGACTTCACAGACGACCCTGTGTTACCCTCACCGAATCAACTTCGCTATAAAATCCTGATCAAAAATAAGAAGATCTGGGAAGAGGGTGATCAACATGCAACAGCAAAAAGAGTAAATTATTTAGAATTTTCTCATGTATGATAAAATATTTATTTCTATGTCAGTGATCAGCATGTAATTGTATTATCAGCTTCTGGAATTTAACATTTTTGTGTTGATTTCTCTATAATGATTTGAACCTCAATTTGAATATTGATATAAATCTGTTATCGTGTGAAATATGTGTATAATGCTATGGTAAGCAATAAAGTATGCTCACGATATTTCACGAATTCGGTACTTCCGGATATCAAAGAGGATTCGGATAACAAAAGATTAAAAAGTTAATAAATTGATGTTCAAACATAGCCGATGACATTTAGAAGGATAAGTTTTCCCCATATTTCCGTTAGTATTTTTCTTCTTCAAAATCTACTAATAGTAATTTACCTACGTAAAGTAAAACTTACTATTTAATATTCAGGCTTCAGCGTTTAGTCGGAACTACAGTATGGTACTGACAGAGAGTGGCACATCTCAGGACTTTGATTTTGAGGATGATGATGACGACGAGGAGGACGACGTTACCATTGGTAACAAAATATCACTGTTATCATTTAGTAACAATAGAAGTTTTTATATAGTCTATGTAGAACGATGTTATTAGAAATATATGTCATTTTTACAAGTTGTTTCGTCTATTTTTCAATTATACAATATGATACATGAATACTGCCGATTATATATATTGATTTTTCCAGTTTTTAAAATTTTCTCTTGTAGATTTTGCGTGATATTTCCTCCTTTTAGTTACTTTTATTGCATTAATGTTTAAACTTTATAAAGATTAAATCCATTATAATTGTTATCATGAATGTTTTTGATTCCTACATTTATAGAGAAAAAAGATGACAAATTTCAGTAGCGATGATTTTACTAAAATACCAGTACATAAATTGAAATTATCATTATAGTGACGTCGGTAACTAACGTGAAGGAATCCCGACGATCTATGGACAGCCAAGAGAGTCGAACAAGTCCCGACGGTGATGACAAAGATGGTCCAATGCATCCTTCCGGTTCCTGTGGCGACCTGGCAAGGTAAGTTTATATGTGAAAATAATCACCAGTGAATAGTTACATAATCAGAATTACATCTGCTTACTAACAATATATACTTTATATTAAATGACATTACCTGATGCATTTTTCATAAAATGTAGTAGTTATTTAGTTTGGATGAATGAGTTATATTGATGAAGTTTAAAATGCTTTTATATCACTAATTTGATAGATCACGAGTTCAATAAACATATTATCAGCTCGGCGAGCATATATTGTTTTATTCAACTTTTCATAAATTAAGTATAAATCTAAAGATATAATATTTATTTTAACATAGTTATTTTATAAACAGAGTCATTTTTGCTTTGACGCGCCCTATACTGAACCATTAACATTAGCGCGCTTTAAATGGCTAATGATACTTTATGTACAAATGACGTACGTCAAAGATGTTATTACATATGTAATTTCTAGTAATTATGCGTTTTTATTAAACTTTATTACATTCTGTGCATCGGTTTTTGTGATTAAATTAAGTACTATTTTTATCAGTTTATGAAACGTTTTATTCATCACTTCATTTAGAGTGCATACCATTTATGGTTTCACATGGTAAAATTCATTTTAAACTAAACAATTTTTTTTTTTTATATATTTCAATAAATCAGTTAAAAGCTTGATAATGTTAAATAAAATGCTGAACATATATTGTAACTACCATTTACTAACCAGATATTCTGTTGTTTGCCAGTTGTGAATGTCTTCCCTTCACTGAATTAATATGGAAATATTTACTAAAAATGGTGCAAATATGTGTTTTTTTATGTAATTAAAGCCACGAAAAGCATGATATAATAATAATTATATGGATTGTTACAATTTTATGCTGTTATTTATTTACTATACTTTTTACTTACTATCATGTATAGTATATAAAATTAATTTTGTTTAATTATAATGTTTTGATATGTAGTTATAAATCTATTTATGCGTACGTTGCGTTAGCTATGATGCTTTATCAACGTTATGTTACGTTACGTTACGTTATGTTATGTTATGTTATGTTATGTTATGTGGTTGAACACAATATCAGTTTGTATGGCAGTCTGTATGAGTATTATACTTGTATTGTACATGTTTATTGTTGTACATGTTCTTGAATCACCGACACTTCGAACTGAAATAATATTTAAAGGAACTTCACTGAGTTTTTTTTGATGAAACTGGAATATTTTTTCAAAATTAATGTTTGATTTGATGCACATATAATATAGATTAATACTTCGTGTGCAAAACGTAAGATCATTAGCTTACTTTGTTCTTCAAGAATAATTATTTTAATTGTGAAAAATGAGCCAAATTGAAAACCGTTGCAACGCTTTTTACTCAAATTGGACTATAAATAGCACACAAATACCTTTTTCAAAATATTTATGAGTTTATTTCTGAATTATCTTTTGCATTGTTTTTCTGTTTTTAGTGCCCGAGCTGATCTATGTAAGAAATTATTTTTTAGGCTTTCGGACCTCAGTGCAGTTCCTTTAAAATTCATTCGTAAAATTCATTTTCTGTTCATGGTATCAAGTTTCGTGCTGTTTGTCATATATGACAACGCATAATTTAAAATATTTAACACATGTATGTTTAGCAAAACAATCTGCACAAAATGAATATGGCGCGTATGTCTATTTGTAGCATTCATGTCTTAACTGAATTAATCGTAAAAATATCTGTTCTTATTACAATGATATGTAATAATTGGTATTAGTTACATTCTACTCATATTGTATGTAGTGATTTAAGATTTAAATGGTACATGTAAAGTAATGATATTTATTGAATTATCTTCTAAATGCAGTATAAAGTCCGTTGATCTATGTGCTAATGTTGTCTTGTCAATAAAGGATTGACCTGTGTAAATTGGCGCTTATAACATGACATGTGATCTTTAGCACTGAGCTAGATGTCTTGTTAACTATCAGGCATGTTCAAAATCTTGTCAGAAAATTGGATTGTTATGTCAACCAGACTTCCATTTTGTCTGAGAATCACGTGAATGTGTCTATATGTCCATGTTCGAGATATATTATCTTCCCAGACGAACGAGTGTGTATGTCAATCAGTCGGTCTACATTCTCATAATTCCCCTTTACTTATCAACATGACAGAATAAAAAAATTATAGATAAGATGATGTAATAAACAACATAATTTGATTTTTGTTTAAAATAAATACAGTCAAACTTCATCGACATTTAGACAAACTAGCATTCTAATTGGACAAGATGACATGGCGGTCTGTAAGTTAAAAGTAATATGATAAAGAACGAAAACATTTACACAAAGCAGGATGTTTCTATGACAAAAACGTGCATTGGCTGCTTAAAGTAAGACAGTTATGGCGTTCCATAAACGATAATGATTTTCAGTGAATATTGTTGTTACTCAGTGATTCAGTCCCGCTTTCACTTGTGCTTGTTCTTCTCTCTTTCCACTTATTGTAACTAATGAAGACGAGCGTCATCTTTGTTCAGTGAAAGGAGTCGACCAAAAAGTCACCCGGAATTAGACTGGCAATTTGATGATGATATACAAGACCCGAAAAGTCAGGTAAAGAAGCCAAAGAAAGCAAGTCAGATCGCAAAGGAGCTCTCCGATTTGGTAGTTTATCTACAAGCTGTAAAATTCAGAGGTATATAAATTTTATTATAAATATTGATCAAAATCAATCTTTAAGGGCATTAATTTATTAAATCATCAATATATTAGGTTAAATCATGTTACAAGCCTATATTATTCCCTCAAAGTACTAGTAATTAGATGTATCAGGCGTTCATAATTAAATGATTTAGTTTGTTAAAATGTCACCTGAAGCATTCATTTGACATATGTATAAATTACGTTGATAGGTTTAAATGTCAGTCCAAACTCGTCGATGAAACAACGTTATTCTAAACCTGGGGCAGCTAGGAGGTTACATAGTGGAGTATCTGGCACGCCACCTGCGTCTCTAGGTTTGTACTCTCAGTTTGTAGTTTTTACCCCGGGTCACGGCAGTAAGCCATATTGAATTTATCAGAGCACAGTTCAGCCACTATATCGTTCCTGGGTGGGCTGTCAAGCAGTTTACAAGTACTAGTTGCCTTCACTTTTGCAAAGAACAAGTAACTTCCATTACTTATAACTTCTGTGCATGCCAGAGCAAAGGTACAGTGCGAATGACTGTAAAAAGTATTTCATGATCAAACACAACGAGTGACATGCACCGTCCGGGAATTGAACCCTGGCCGTCCAAATCACAGTCCAACGGTCTACCTGTTGAGCTAACAGTACGGCTCTCTGTTTACTCGTATACTCTTACGGACCCATATGTATTGAAATGTATCTTACCTAGTGACATAAAACATGGAAATATACAAAGAAATAAAAGGATAATGACAAAACTGCATTTAGTTCTGTTTGTACTTATTGACATATTTTGACATAATTCTAAAATATGTATTTAAGTGATCTTTTAAGTACAGAAAAGATAAAAATAAAAAAGGTTACCCCTAAGTTTAAATTTAAGTGGAGTTGTAAGAATATGATAAAAGGTCCAGGCTTTAGGAGCTTTATATATTTATTTAATTCTTGGTACTTTATTCTAACCAACTTTGCTTTATTGTAACTTGCATACATGTTTTACATACATATTTTACAGATCGGGCAGATCATAATATGAACATGGGTATATCATTGCGCCAGAAACGTCCAGACAGTACCCCATCTTGTTACCTAGTCTCATCTCTCAATGAAAACAAGGCCAAACAACTATGTCGCCGTAATCCGAACCTTGTCATCAAATATCCTTTTTTGTCTGAACATTTTAGTCGTAATTTCATTACATCTTGAATTGAACAGTTCATCAATTAAGTTCAGAACATTTTTTTCACATATTATTAGTATATTTATATTTATGATGTAGACGTCATTCTGATATCTTTGTAATTATTGTAAAGTGTTTTCTGTTCTTGTGTCATATTGAGAAAACATTTGAAAACAAATCGAATAACATGCATGCAATGACATAATTTATGGCCTCTAGTTTGGCTGACTAGAATTTGCAATCAAGTTGAAGGTTTGATATCTTAATACATTGTACAATAAAATAAGACGCCTGGACAGGACATACCTAATGGAAGTTCAGTTACATTATTAGTCGTATCTTATACAACCATCTTATCGCATGTACTATCAACATAGTTAAATGACATTTCCTAGTAAAAATCGCAGAAATAATTTCCTTAACAATATTACCCATACAGAGAAACAGCTGATGCGGAGTTACCCTGCCGCTATGAGAATAGATTCGTCCAATTTTAACCCTGTTCTATTCTGGGCATTTGGCATCCAAATGGTAGCTCTCAATTATCAAACTGAAGGTAAATCTAGCATTTCATGTCATTCTTGTTACTTTATAATGAGTGCATTCATATGTTTATAAAGGTAAATTCAAACTCAATTTTGTCATGTGGTTATTTGTTTAATTTATTCAAGAATGTAAAATGTTTTTTGAAATTAAAGCATTTTCCTTTTACTTTAATTAATATCAACATAACTTCGGAATATTATTTGCCGATAATATGCTTACATTAGTTGACATCAATGCGTTTTTATGTAAGCGTTTCATTCTGAATATATATAATTAAACTTGAGAAAAAAATTCTCGTATATGACATAAGTTAACGTAATTTGTTTTGTACCTATTAGACACAGCGATTGCCGTCAATACTGCAATTTTTGAGCAGAACGGTCAGAGTGGGTATGTGTTAAAACCGGCGGTAACCTGGGACAAAAGTCACGTGATGTACAATCATTTTAACCCCCTGGATAAGGAGTTTGACGGTCTTCATACCACAGTTTTGACATTACATGTAAGTATAATATTGTGGTTGTTAACAAATAAAGATAAACCACTTACCTCCCTCTTACTTCGATTGATCACAATAACGCCGGAAATGTTGAATTCTCTGGTATAATGAGCAAGGAGCATTAGATATGAACGGCAACAATTTAAGAACGAAGGTCGATATGACTTGACATCGCTCCTTTCAACTTTACCATCTAAGAAAATAAAGATGAACTGAACTTACACATGGCACGTTCAGCAAGATATTGTCGTCTGTGACGCACGGTATAAAGTCCCCGTACGTACATGTAGTATGGACGGAATATATACCATGCCGAAAAAAATGCTACCTATGGTACTTGTTCTTTGCAATGATTTAGATAATCTCATTAAACTTTTTAGATATTTCTTTTTAAAAGAAGTAATTAACGCACTTTAACGTACATGTACGTATATATGTATATACCGGTGCTCGACAAGAATTACAAAGAGATAATCTTTAGTGTACTTATCTTTGCAATATACTTAAATGTATATTCAATAGTTTATATAGATAAGTGTCTTTATACTAAAACCAACAACGTTTGTATAGGTCATATAACAGAACTGTAACTGAATATCATGTTTAAGTTTATATAGTATTACGTTAATCGGACAATATGTCTGTACTAACTACACGGCTAGTACCCAAGTTGAAGTTGAGGTAATTGGTATACCTGTAGATTGTGCCAAACATAAAACTAAAGTCATTCCTAGAAACGCTCTCAACCCTATCTGGAACGATGTCTTCACATTTCAGGTTTGTACTCGTATTGTTTTAGTTGTAATGAACACCATAATAAAGTAATCTTTTCAAATAATAATATGTAACCCCGTATTTTCTACTTTTACTTCTTTTATTTTCGAAGACTTTATATGTATGGAGAAACCTTCTATAATACAGATATGTGATAAAGAAAACATACTTAACAAATATAAATTATAATTATCAACGAATAATGAAAACATAAACATGCATTTATGGTTATACTTTATACGGAGCACATCAGATTCTTATTTATCCAATAAGTATTTCTGTTTCTTTTCACTGTTTATAACAAAGGATGTTTATTTTTTATTGATGTAATAATGAATATTACAGGTGATGTATTCGGAGCTGGCATTTATCCGTTTTGTGGTGACAGACACTATAACAAGTCATATTGTATCTCAACGAGTCATTCCTCTAAAATGTTTGAGACCTGGTACGTATTCTAATCCCAGTTCTATTTAAAACAAAACAAATTCATAACACTTAGTATATTTTTCTGATTTAACAATTAATTTATAATATGAACATAGATTTTTCAAGTATTAGATTATTTTTTCAGATTTGTTCATTTCTTATATTGAAATATAAATATTTGTTTATAACAATTTTAATATATTAATTCAATTCTTTAAGAATTTTACCAATAAAAAACTAACACACTTTAATTTATTAATTTATAACTACGTTTGAACAAACGTTGAATAACATAGTATTATCAAAAAAGATGAGGAAATGATTTGAATTTGGTATTGGGATTTCAGGTTACAGACATGTCAGATTACGGACAGCGACCAATCAGCCGCTAGAACTAGCTACAATATTCATCTATTCTAAACACGAGGAGGAGCTGATAGAACCGTGTAGCCGGCTCGAGTATTCCCAGGATTCCACTTCAGCTATACTGAAATCTGTGTTCACAAGGGTCAAGGACATGTCAGAGACGGGCAAGGACGGGAAAGATATACATGTAAGATATACCGTGCTAGTATATTAAGTTATTACTCTGAAAAAAAGTATATTGTTAACCTTGTGTTTAAAAGAAAAAACAAAATGTTTTTTATTTACATGGATTTACCACTTAATTAGTAAAACAAATTTAAAGAATAAATCTTCCATTTCCTATTGGGCAACAGTTCAAAACACTATCCCCTCCACCTAGGGCCAACAGTTTGACTGTTCTCAAATCGCATATGAAATAACTGTATAATATTGTCCAGTTTATAAGACTTATCTTATTCAGGCAGGACAATACACCTATATATTTGATAAACACTTCAACAATTCGTTTACTGTAACATTTTCAAGATCTCATCTAAACTTTATAGGAGTGATTAATATCTATTCATATAATGTTAACATTCTTATTCTCTCCCGAGACATTTGAACTTTTGACAACATTGTAAAGCAAACATTTCGGACAAATTTTTATTCCTATGATTAATATACTCATAAACCGGGAGTACAATCCGGAAATATGTATAGATAATAAAAAGCCAACATGTTTGATTCAAGTTTCAAATTTTAGTTATCAATAAGATATTGAATCATCAAAACACTAAACATTTTACATTTATTCCAAGGTTTATTAAATTCAAATATTCCGTGTTCTGAGTAAAATATATAAATTACTTTTTGAAAACGAACATCATTTGAATAAATTTGAAATAAAATGCCGCATATCAAGACATAACCCGTTAGTTTTAAAGTTGAGTCAGTTCTTTAAACTATTTATAAAGCTCGGAAATTGAAAAATGTGTCTGGACCAGCGTAAAATAATAAAGTCTTGAAATAATTTGCATTTTAAGACAGAATATTTTAGTTTTTCTGTTGAGTTCGTGTTTAATAATATAACTGGAGCCAAACATTACTTCAGATAAATTGATATAAAGTAACAAACTTAACCTTGTATTTTAATAACATTCGTCTGCAGATTGTTTTATCTTTAACAAAAATGTTCTGTTTTCTGTATCGTTTGTGGTGATTTCTGGCATTTCATTTAAATGATTTAACCATTAAAACTGTTAAATACAAAGCAAAACATGCTGCTGCTGCTGTTCACTCTTAGTAATGACAAGGTTTTTGTTCTATTTTCAGTTAGCAAATCCGATTGGTACCAAGCTTAAGAGACGCATGTTCTTCATTAGCGTGTTTGGAGTGACGGCACCTGACGAGTACGTCATTCTAAAGGTCACCCAGGACACATCTGTATATGACGCCATAGCTCAGGTAAATTTTACCCCTCTTAGAAAAAACAGCAGACAACCGTGGGTCATACCATTATCCCCACCTTGCTACGCCCTTGTCAACTATCAGTGTGGGACATCTGTCTTAGTCATAAACTTGGCTGGATTTAATTCCAACGTCACATTGAAACTTGATGTGAAAATTTTAACATGTTTTATGATTAAAACAGACACTATATACATTTATGTTGCAATGATAAAATAACTATAAGTTAACAAGTGCTGTGCAAGATGGGATAAGGGTTTGACTCCCGAATGTCTATGAGAAAGAATAAAAAACTAGTATTCTGGCCACATTAAATAGACATATATATAAAATGAAAACAAAACAAATTCTAACATTCTTATGATGCCTTAGCAACATTAATACCTTCAAATTAAATGTATATACAAGTAAATAAAGGTAAATGCAGATCTTAAATTACACAGGAAATACTTAACGCATTTGTAAAAAAGTCATTCTAAGGACTAAAATAGATATGAAATATTTGCAGGCGTTAGTGAAAGCTGGACGTACAGATGAGAAGGTAGCTGATCATGTACTGGTAGAGGATGTACAGAACAGTTGGGAGAAAAAGGAACAAGAGAGGTCCAGCTCACAGAGAATACTGAGTATGTCAGAGAAACTGCTACAAGCTCAGAATAAATGGAAAGGTGCTGGAAAATTTGTTCTGAGGAAAGTTAGCACTGTAAGTTATTATCGTTTTTTTTCTGATTGATAGTGATTGTGACTAGATTAAACAAATATCAATATTTTGACCTCCTTAGTATACGTTTGTAACTTAAATGTTTGACTTTTAATTAGATTTACTTAAATACAACATGTAAACCATACATGTAAGATAAGTCAAGTAAAGATTTTGGAGAGACAATCATAATCCTTTTTTCAGAAAGACAGATATTCGTGTTATTACTGAGATGAAATAAATATCCTTACTATACATTTGATAGCGTACGTCTTGCAAAATGTAGGGTATCAATTCTTATTTAAAAAAAATAACTATGAGCACGTGTTTTAGACATCAAAGTAATATAATGTGCTGTAAAATACGTTTTTAAAATATTATGATAATTATATTAATTGTTGCAGGACCCGAGTAGCAGAGCGTGGGTTACATCAATGCTTGCCAAAGAACAACGGGTATGCAGTATTTTTAATTTATTGTCGGTCTGTGGGGGACAGGTGTTGGTGATTGGGTATATTATTGTACTCCTACATAACTGCAAAACATAGCGCCTGCTGTGATGTAGATTTCGAAGCTATGCACGAGTTCAATGGAACCAAGTATTGTACTAAACAGTGTAGAACAATATCAATGAATAGTTAGTTACATTAATAAGCTATAAAGACATAAAGCGACTTGCAAAATAACAACAATAGAACGAATGAAAAGAAGTTGAATGAAATTATTATAAAGATATGTTATAATATCAAAGATATGATGATTATATATTCAAACTATTTGTGTTACAGAGAAAGTGTGATAGTGGTAACAGTCCTTCTGGTGACTGGGACAAAGACGAGCACATGTTTCTCGTGTGTGTTTACAATGTTTCCCCCGACCAACCATATACCATTTTCAAGGCGCCTATATCCAGTACATCGCAAGATATAATTACTCAGGTAGCTTGATAAACATTTAAAATGCTTAATATATAATTATTTGAAATTAAGAATACGTAAGAACCTTTGTTAGTTTATCTTTTATCAGGCTAAATATCTTAAAAAGACTCGCCTATTATAACCATTAATCATTGTAGGAAAGATTTATAAAATATGCACTGACTGAATAGCAAACATCGCATACCATGGTCAGATGGCACGGCTGTCCCGGTTGGTCTGCATTGGTAGCATGTGTAGTATTCGTTGGTGGTTAAGGAATGCTAAAAGTAAAAATAAAAAAGTGGCGGTATGAAGCTTGGCACACATCTGGTGCCCGGCTCTAAATCTCACGTTTATGCTAGGTTAATGTGGAACTGGGTAGAAATTACAGAATTCTGTATTGCAAATAATATTCTTTACTTATCTATTAAAATGCATTACTGTCAAAATTAAGTGTATTTTTTCTGACACACTTTGGCTTTCTAATTGTTCGTGTTTATATCTACTGGACAATTTGATACAATGTTTCATTTATATAACTGACCTTCCTGATTACTTGTTTAACAACAAATTACACAGTAAACCTGTCTTTAAGAAAATGTTCAATATTACATTGGAATTGCTCATTATATTGTAGGCAATGCGTAAAGCACACCGGTCAGGTGAAGAAGATCCTAGAAATTTTTTCCTGCTAGAAGAGCTGGACGTACAGACGGACACTCTCAGTGCCGGCAAGAAAAGAGATAGCAGTGTATTCCGACGAATCTTGTCGGCGGATGAAAGTGTTTACCAGGCCCAGAATGAGTGGAAAACTAACGGAAGATTTGTTCTAGTTGACCGTGATATGGTGGAATTTGACCAAGATTTGCCTGTATGTCTACTAGATCGTCTTAAGACTTTCAAAAATATTACCTTTTAGGAATCGTATCATTTTTATTATTAATAATTTTCCACAATTGAATTATCATGTAACTATTTTCATTATAATATGCTGAAATGACAGACTATACGTTAATAAACTATTAAAGTTTTCCTTGTGATACAGATAACATGAATTTAACATTTAGAACGCCGGCATGAGGAAACGGCCCGTGACGTCATTTTACAAATGACGTCATGAGACGTTAACGTTTTCAATGACGCTAGGAATAAAAAAGTGCACTTCCCATGTCATTTTAAAGATTATTATGAATAGGTTAAAATAAGCAACTTTAAAAAGTTTGTTATTTATTTCAAGAGCTATAGAATTCAATTTCTTTAAGAATTCAATATGTCAATTACAAAATGTGATTGACTTTAAGGGTTGTTTTCTCATCCCGGAAGTAAAAGTGTTTTTTTAATAGAGAGTAATAAGAAAAGTCATTGTTTTTGATATATCTTTTGTTTATTTTTATACATGCCTTCTGTTGTTGGTGTTATTACAATTATTATTTTACCTTATTTGGTGTTGTTTTGTTTTTTGTTTTGATTTTTTTTCATGTTGTTTCTTGTAGATGTAGATGTTGTCATCTTTAGAGAGAAATGATGGTCAAGAGATTTGATAGTTAACACATATTACAATATCATTCACAAAATGTACACCGACATTGTTTGCCAAAAAATGATATTGAAACATTTGAGCAAAGGTCTTCTGTCCGTGTGCCAACTTTCTTACAAGTGTGCCAACTTTCTTACGATTTCAGATGATTCTCGAATTGGCCAAAATTACCTACTTTAGATTAATATAATGTTATCGTAACCAGTTATGACTTTTGAAATAATGGGAGTTACAAGAAAATATGATTATATTGAACGTCCATCTCTGTATTATGCACTCTGATTCGAGTAAAATGAATTTTTGTAATTTACAACACAATTACAACTTAATACAGATTTTCAAATTCCAACACACTTATTACAACATACTTATTACTGACTTTTTAAAATACAACTGTCAATATACCTATAACACATATTTAATAACAACTCACTTATAATTTTTAAATTACAACTCGCATATTATAAGATTTTAATGACAACACATTTATAACAGTAAGAATAACGAATGTCAACTTATCATATCGTTTAACAAGATATGTACAAGAAACATAAATCTTTATGCAAAATAATGTACAGCTTTGCAATGATTTATCCACCCTGCAATTTTAGCGGTGTTGTTTCAACTAAATATTCTCATTGTCCATTGATGAATATAACCCGACTGGACTTTACTACGGTTGTGATGGTTTATTTTCACCTACATGCCTTTTAAACGATTAAAATGAATTGTCATTTCCACCTACATGCTTTACATAAATAGTTCGTACTCTGCCGTGTTGCAGACGTCAATTAATGTATACCCACGTATGTATGTACACACACACTTTGTCCGGTTCATTGTATTAGAAATGAACCTTGAAATATACTGAAAACAAATATTATTAACCCAAGTTTCTTTTATAAAAACATTGCGTGTCCAATTCCAATGAATGGTCGTGTAATATTTAAACACGCCATAAATATTATAGTGGTTAGTATATAAACAGTATACATACATTATTAACAAGTATTTTAAATTGTATTTCAATATATTAGTAATATCACCAATACTATGTTATATTGATAACTGTCTTCAAACTAAACACCTATGAACAAAAAAAAATGTGTTCAAAGTACGCCGTTAGTGCGGATTCCTGTGAAAAGGTTTTAAATATACACAGTAAGTAATACATCTTAGGTTAAATACCGTTAACATATTTATTTTTCTAAGTTATTTTTGTTAGTTTTAGTGTAATTGTTAATTTTAGTTTATTCAATGTTGTTTTCTTTTGTTGTTTATTTTTGTTATCGCTAGCTCGTTGTCTGAAACGTTTGTAAGTAACATTCCTTACAATGCTTCGGAATTTATCCATACTGGATGTTGGAAGTAATTTGTCTTTAACCCTTTTTTGTCAATTGTAGAAATATTATTATTAACGTGTCTTTATTTTACTTGTAGGCGGACAGGAAGAGAAAAAGTGTTCGTGTAAAGGGACCAATGTATCAACATGGTAACGTCTCTTCAACCCTTGCTAGAAAATTTTGCTCAAAATTGTCCAGTAAATCCGATCATACAGATAGCACTACAGCCCCTGAAGAATCGCCGCTCTTACCAAGGTCACCAACAGGTTTGGCTCTTTGTTTTAGACTGATACCATGCGTATATTCAAACAGACGACCAAATAAATGGCGCCAAAATGACGAAAGGCATTATGGGTCAGGTGCGCCGGATTATTATGTTGTTTTTTCTTTCTTTAAATTTTGGTTCCGTCTCGAGAAAAACAACTTTTCAAGCTTGATAAAGTAGATTTATATGTTAATTTCAACAATTGTCTTTTTCAAAAATGCCAGATGTTCAGAACGTCTTCTAGATTTTAACCGGAAGTTAATTTGAAAGGGTCAAGAGAGTACATTTATACACAGGGAATCTGTCATTATTTTTAATCTTTCTCTCTCTGTATATATAAACAAGGGATAGAATTAAGTCGTGGCCTACCAATTATCTGCACGTGTTCGTAAAATGCATTCGCATGTTCATGTAAACTATCTAAAATAACATCTATTCAAGAAGTTAATATAAACTGCCCATTGTCCTCTTCATAAAACGTGAAACATTGTAGGAACGAAAAAAACATTTCAATATCTACTTTTTCCGGATTATTAGTACTCATTAAATAAGCGGACAGTCTGTAATAGATGTTGAGTTTGCGCATGGAACATACGGGCAACATTCAAAATAGAAGCCGATTGTAGAAATTATCAAAACGAACAAAAATTGTTACAATAATTTGTTCCAGAAGTTAATGATTGATTGGTGGTGGTGGGTGATTGATATTTAACCGATTACATGATTAAACTTTCTTATATGAACATTCGTTTGCATAAGATATCGTTTTACACGTAATTTTACAAGCCGAAATTTTACGAACATGTTTAAAAATGAAAATCGGAAGGTTATTTTTTATAATACCTTGTACATGTATCAAAATGGGACATTTTTGGAATTATTGATTCTTTCATGAAAGTCCAACAGTCACAAAATCTGTCGTGTACTGCGTTCTTTTTACTTTTTCATGAATTTAGCAATTTTGAGTTGTTTACCTTTATATGTATAAAGTGGGAAAACAAAAAACAATGAGAGAAGCCCCTTTGTGTTTATCAAGCTTGGGAGGTAAATGATCGCGCAGCGCCTGATTCATTGCCCTAATATACATCTGTATGATAGCATCTGTATGATAACATCTGTATGATAACATCTGTATGATAACATCTGTTTATTAACATCTGTATGATAACATCTGTATGTTAGAATATACACTTCTACCGTAAAATGCGCGCGTAATAACTATGTCTTAAATCACTTCTTACATCAAACGATAACAATCATAATACAGAATTAGTAATTAGAAATTAGAATTCTAACATTTTCAAGACTGTTTTCGTAACCATTTTTATTTAAAACTGTGTTCATTAGATTGAAAATTCACATATTAACCTTTGAATCTGTTCGGACGCTAAATATTTCTCCATATTTATGCAACATGTTATTTTTGTTTTCAGCGGCTGCACCTGAAAGTCCGCCTACACCAATAAATCTTTCCTTACTGCCAAGCTACACTCCGTACAGTAACGGACATCAACCGGCCAGTCCAAGTTCCGGGAGCAGTCAGTCCGGAACATCGAAATGGAAACGAATTTTAAAACTAGGCAAAAACTGATGTTGGCGGTAAATGTTCGTGTGAAACACATGTTGAAGCTATGACAGTAGATTGTGACACAACAAGGATAAGATAGAGCAAAATAATGATTGTAATTGTATTAGTAAAGACTTGTGACTAAACAATAGCATGTAGACGGGAAAAAGTTTTTCTATTATTATCGAGCGTGTTCAAAATATAATTTAAACTTTATTGTAATATCCATGTCAAAATCATGTTCGTATTGATAATGTTCATACTGATATCAAATAATGTATACACAGATATCAAATAATGTATATACTGATATCAAATAATGTATACACAGATATCAAATAATGTATATACTGATATCAAATAATGTATACACAGATATCAAATAATGTACTTAACGATATCAAATAATGTATATACTGATATCAAATCACGTACTTAACGATGTCAAATGATGTATATACGGATATCAAATCATTTACTTAATGATATCAAATCATTTACTTAATGATTATCAAATCATTTATTTAATGGTATCAAATAATGTATATTTTGATATCAGATCATGTTCATACTGATATCAAATCATGTTTATATTTATAACACATCATGTTCATAATGATATCAAATCATGTATGCACTGATATTTAAATAAAAAAACTTTCTGATATTTGATTCATATCTTGTAAAGGAACGGCTAATTATGATTGACTTTATGTAGTAAATTATGAACTGGCCTATAAATACTGAATATTTAAAAGTAGTATAAAACGCAATTCTATTTTAGTTTTTGGTGAATTTTACAGTTGTTTTTTTTTACTAGTCGTGTTTTTGTGCTAGGTGTAATCAATATTGTATGTTAAGTTGCCAAAATATTTATAAAACATAGTGCTATAATTACAGTGATATGTAATAATTGTTGTGATTTTCAATACCACTCGAATACGATCTCTTTGCTCGAGGTTATGTATACCAGAACCAACATCTGTATATCCGAGGTCATGTATTGGCCAGTCACAATATCAGTATATCCGTGGTTATATATTGACCAGTCACAATATCAGTATATCCGAGGTCATATATTGGCCAGTCACAATATAAGTATATCCGAGGTTATATATTGGCCAGTAACAATATCAGTATATCCGATGTTATATATTGACTAGTCACAATATCAGTATATCCGAGGTCAAATATTGGCCTGTCACAATAACAGTATATCCAAGGTTATTTATTGGCCAGTCACAATATCAGTATTTCCGAGGTTATATATTGACCAGTCACAATATCAGTATATCCGAGGTTATATATTGGCCAGTCACAATATCAGTATATCCGAGGTTATATATTGACCAGTCACAATATCAGTATATCCGAGGTTATATATTGGCCAGTCACAATATCAGTATATCCGAGGTCATATATTGGCCAGTCACAATATCAGTATAACCGAGGTTATTTATTGGCCTGTCAAAATATCAGTATATCCGAGGTTATTTATTGACTAGTCACAATATCAGTATATCCGAGGTTATATATTGGTCAGTCACAATATCAGTATATCCGAGGTCATATATTGACCAGTACCAATATCAATGTATCCGAGGTTATATATTGGCCAGTCACAATATCGGTATATACGAGGTCATATATTGACCAGTACCAATATCAATGTATCCGAGGTCATATATTGGCCAATACCAATATCAATGTATCTGAGGTTATATATTGGCCAGTCACAATATCAGTATATCCGAGGTTATTTATTGGCCAGTCACAATATCAGTATTTCCGAGGTTATATATCGGCCTGTCAAAATATTAGTATATCCGAGGTTATTTATTGACTAGTCACAATATCAGTATATCCGAGGTTATATATTGGTCAGTCACAATATCAGTATATCCGAGGTCATATATTGACCAGTACCAATATCAATGTATCTGAGGTTATATATTGGCCAGTCACAATATCAGTATAACCGAGGTTATATATTGACCAGTACCAATATCAATGTATCTGAGGTTATATATTGGCTAGTCACAATATCAGTATATCCGAGGTTATATATTGGTCAGTCACAATATCAGCATATCCGAGGTCATATATTGACCAGTACCAATATCAATGTATCAGGGGTCATATATTGGCCAGTACCAATATCAATGTATCCGAGGTTATATATTGGCCAGTCACAATATCAGTATATCCGAGGTCATATATTGACCAGTACCAATATCAATGTATCCGAGGTCATATATTGGCCAATACCAATATCAATGTATCCGAGGTTATATATTGGCCAGTCACAATATCAGTATATCCGAGGTTATATATTGGCCAGTCACAATATCTGTATATCTTTTTATAATAATCCTAATTATACAGTTACTTGTATGTGTTATTGTGTGTAATGCAAAATGTACTCTTACACTGCTGGAACCGAACTCGGTTAGCCTTTGCCACCAGGACAGAATCATGTCAGAGTGCCCGTTAAGTCTGACAAAACAATACAGAAATATGTTACCTGACTAACCTAAAATGTTCATATTGATGTCCCTAAAATGATAATGGAAAGTTCCAAAATGGTACCTTGACAAGTCCATTTAATAAACTACTTAAAAATACTAATTCGGGCTACATTCTTACTACCACTTTAGGCACGCTTTAAATTTTGTTTTATATGAAATGTAATTTACTAGGTTATACATGTATGATATTGGAGTCCAGTTAAAATTTAGACATGCATTTTTGTATGATCAGATTTTACCAAAACTATGTGCGCTATGTATTGTAAATAAATAAATGTAATGTTTGTTATATCTTTAAAAATATTTTAAACAATGTGATTACGAGAAAAATAGATTTTGATATCATTGTTGAATTCATAACTAAACGTAACAGAGACTTGTTACAAGAAATACAATCTGTTTCTTGGTGTTTTAGATATGCTGTTTAGTTGTTACTGTGGAATAGCACATTGTTATTCGTTTTGTACCACAATGACGTTTGCTCTGTATACCATTATAATAATTGTACATTCTATTTTCTACTTTTTCTGCAGATTTTTGTTGTATTTTTTTTTTTTTTTTTTTTTTTGCCGGATATTAGTGTGTTATATAATTTATTTAACATATTTAATTGTATAATATAATTTTGTTATGTGATACAACAAAGCAAGTTTGCAATGATGCCAATCTTTATTAAAATGGTTTAAACTTTAAATCCTTACTTGTTAGAAGTGATGACTATAATTTAATATGTTTGCAATAATTTAATATGTTTCCGTGATAAAAGCCAGACAAACCTTCATACATTTGTACCGCATGACCCGCCTCAAAATGGCAATTTCTAAATTTGATGTAAGTTTCTTAAATTACCAAAAAAAAATTCATAAAATATGATTGTTAACGTACTGAATGTGAGAGTGACCAGCCTTTGTCTCCAGTATAGAGCCAGGCCAGTTTGTACAGCTCTTTTATTAGTAGCTCACCAACTTCATATTTTCATCATAATATCCCACAAAAACTGAAAATGAACAGTTCTATAATAGAAGCTGGACAAGTCACTCTCAGAAAGTCAGGGTTAACCAATATTGACAATATAGTGACCATGATGATGATAATAATTATAAACATGTAGATTTAACTATAAACAAAATATATATTTCACTTAATCTACATACTTGTATTTAGGAATAAGGGGGTAATTCTTCGTTAAAAGTTCTATAAATTAAGTATATATAAATGTTAGCGAAAAGGAGTGGCATCTGTGTTAACAAGCGCGCGGTGTGAGTGCTGAATTATAATGAAGGGGAAAATGATCTCAAAATCATTTTGTAGTGCATACAGATAAAGTAATTGTTTTTAATTTTATATTACATTTGTTATTTATTTCATTATTCAGAAGTGAATTAACTTCGCAGTGTATCTACAAGTACAATATTCGCTCATGTTAAGTTGTATATAACTGATGACGTTTTTTTGTTGTTTTGTTTGTTAATTAAGTCATAACGTTGTTGTATTTGGGTGTATGTCACATTTACGACGTAAACCTAAAGTAAAATGGAAAAAAATAAAGTGAATTTAAATCTTTATATATCTTTTTTTATAATACTTTTCACCCCATTTCATTTCGGACTTTAATCTTACTTTGAAATCCAAATTATGAAAAAGTTCTTCACGCTAAAATCGCCCCAAACGACACAATTGAAAGTTTTGAAGCTCGGTTTGATTGCGGCAGTTTTTGGGCGGTACTAGAAAGTTTAAAGTGTACCCTCCACGCCCCCACCCTAGCACCGGTTTAACCTATAAGCTTTATTCGAGGATTTAGCAGACTATAAGGACGGTACTGATAGTTAAGCTTTACTCGATAGACTGATATAAAACTACAAACTATCTGCTAATATAATAGTTGTAGCAGCAAACTTTATACACTTAAACCAGGTCAATGTAATACTGTTTTATTATTGTACGAAATGAAACCAGTAATAACATACTTCAACAAATCTTTACCCTATTTCGGTTATCGTTTTGAATGGTTCAGTGGACAAAGATGTCTTGCATTATGTTAAATTTTAATCACAAAAATTGAATAAAAGTAGCATTAGGTTAAATCACAATGGAAAATAATCGTAAACCGAGGAGACCATGTCAGTTGCCTAAAGCTTATTATTTTCTATGTAAATGGTTTAAATCTGGCCGAGATATGAGCCGCGTCACGACAAAACCAACATAGTGGGTTTGCGACCAGCATGGATCCAGACCAGCTTGCGCTTCCGCGCAGTCTGATCAAGATCCATGCTGTTCGCTTACCAATTCTATTACAAGTGGAGAAACTGACAGCGAACAGCATGGATCCTGATAAGACTGCGCGGATGCGCAGGCTGGTCTGGATCCAAGCTGGTCGCAAACGCACTATGTTGGTTTTGTCGTGACACGGCTCATATGATGTCTTTGGTTAAAAAAGTGACTATTTGCCATATTGTTACGATGCTCAACATGAATAGTTCTCACAAAAAAAAAAACATTAAGCCTAAGAAATTGTTTTATTTTAATTTACATGTAATTTAATTTCTTAAAAGTTCTTAATATTTCGTCTTCTTCTACAATTTCCAAAAAGTACTCTTTAGTCATTTTTATGAACCATCTAGCTTTTGATTTTTTTTTTCTAGCAGTAAGTACAATTAAAGTCAGTTTTTGCACGGTTGTCAAAGTACTGCTTCGTTTACATTTTGTTACTCTTATGATGAATATTTTCATATTTCAGCGCTATTTTCTTCCAGTGATAAACATCCTACATGATTTAAAACCGCTACTTAAAGGTTATAAAACTCGTGTTTACCATTTCCAAAAAAGGAAAATAAAATCATTTCTGAAACATAATGTGCCTTTAAGAGAAATCTACTGAACCATAAAATTTAAATAGCGTTCATATATGACTTACTTAATCAAAGTAGGTGAATATTTTTCTTAATGATATTCAGGTACATGCCTCAGCGCAATAAATTATACAAAAACAACATGTGCACGATTTAACCTGTTAACTTATATATATACCAGTTCATCTACGAGTTTATTTATTTAAGTTAAAGGAGACATATCTAACTATCTTAAGAATGTTAATGTGGAATATATAAAATTGCATGAATAAATTACATGTTTTCTAATGAGTTGAACAACTAACACACAGTTGTAGTTCTCAAGCGACTTGGGGTCTCCTTGTAATTCACCACAATCATCAATATCATAAATTAAAACTATCATAATTATATAGTACCTGTATAAAGATTTAACAAAATGACTCATTCAAAAACATATAAAAAGTATTCATGCATACAATGGTAATATACAAAATTTACAAAATTAACATAATCTCTTATTGAAAAAAAATCCAAAAACAAATATTTGAGTAAATATCCCGCCAGCAGTTTAATATTGTACCACTTACATGCCACTTGTCCTTGTCCGTGTTAGTTTACAAAATTTAGAAAGAACATATTTAAGTTTAAATTCACTCATTAATTTAGAGTTTAATGTGCACAGGTTTCTAATATGCAGAATGAATTAGAAACGGATATAAGAAAAAACAACTTTAAATGGACAGCGAATTTTCGACTGTTGACAAATACTGTATACATACAAATACAAGTGAGGTTTTACGCACGCGTAAAATGGCTGCGAAAGAATGGCCATCTATGCACTCCATACCTTTAGAAGAGACTTAGACGAATAACTGTTTAGATCTGCGCAGTTGTTGAAATATAATGGAAGCGTACGACGCGAAACATCCATAACATTACGTCCGTACTAGTATATAGTACTCGTTTTATACTGTGACAGACCGGGTAGGATTCAGTAAATGTCGTAATTGTGCTGGAATCTGACACCATGTGTCTTATTTATATAGACAGTGTTGCTCGTAATGGTTTATCATAATGTCTTAAACATTAATTCATTATATCATATCCCGATTAAACGATATATAAACTTTAAATAAGCAAATAATCAACGATAAAATTTTATATTTGAGAATAAACATAGTATATAAGACATTAAAAGCATCATACTCGTTAGTTACCAAATCAAGCACAAATGTGGCCTCGCTTTACTCTATAAAATGAAGCGGCTATTTAAGGTTTTTGAAACCAGCACTATCCAAATCATCTCAAAAGCAAAATACAAAACTTTAACAGATTAAATTCTTCAAAACGAACTTGTTTCCTAATTTCTAAAAGTCAACAAATGGGTGTATTGAAAACTTCAGATGTTTGCAACAGCTCACCGTTCTATTAATTTAAAATAAAGTGTACATTGTTTTCTTTACAATAATACAGTTAGCTTGTCAACTTATCCACATTCTTCAATATTAATGGGATACGTTTACAGTGCGTAAAGTATCCTCCTTTGTAAAGATAATTAATTTTGTTATTGGAAGAATGTTAATCTCGTGTCCGTTTCTGTCGTGTGTTTAGCCAGATTAAAAAATAAACAACAACAGATGTCCAGTTTGTTATTTCTTCATATATATCGTTTAAAGTTTTCATCTGCTGAAGTGATGTAATAAAAATGTCTCTTTGAACGCCTCTCAAGAGGTCACTACATTGTGAAATTGTTATAAAGGTAAACAATATAGCCCGGGAGCTTCAGTATAAGATCTTTATTTATACAGGACACATCAGTACAGGTTTTAACGTTTGTGTACACTAGTATCAATCACAGTGAATCAGTCTCTCAAAATACGGACACCGTTTTTTGAAGATGAACGTGTTAACATGTTTTGTTCTAGTGCTTAGCTCAGCAGCTGGGCGTAAAATAGTGGATTTAAACGCATACGTTTGATGGTGACGCCCCGAAGTACCCACTGGGATTTTTGAGTTCTGACCTAGCAAGTTTTGTTTATTTTAACATGACGACATTGACAGCGCAATATTACGACGATATGTGGTAACGATTTCTTTCTTTTATGTAATTGTGTCTCCTAGAAACATTTAATTATTACTATTTATTCTTCTACAATGCTCAAAAGAATATGTTTAATAGCATCGTGCGAAAAAATAGAAAATGAAATGAAAAATTGAAGATAACAATGTTAGCAAATTGGTCTTCATCATTTTACATTAACGCCTGAAAAAATTATTTAATTGGTATACATGTTTATTGCATTTTTGTCTACGATAATGGGTTTAAATAGAAAGAAGACGGAGAAAGAATGAAATATAAACAAACCATGCATTTCAATATACTAAGTTTTCAGTACCGAGTTTTAATTTCGCAAAATTTTCTCATACATTTATAAAAAGGTTAGCACTGAGGAAAATAGAGTTTTACGAACATCAAGGAACCCATATCGACGCACCATTGCATTTTGGTAACGGTCGACAATCTTTAGAGCAGATTCCACCAGAGAGACTATATGGACCTGGTGTTGTGATTGACGTCAGAGACAAGGTCAAGGTCAATCCTGATTATGCTGTTACAGTAGATGATATTTTTGGTGAGATAATTTCATTAACTAAAATAATCAAAATCGGTGGGATTAAATCGTCTAACTCTTGCACTAAGTTGTTTCTGAATTTTTGTTATATGTCTATGTCTCATAAATAATAATTAAAACACAAACTTGGAAAAAGAACAGTAACAGAACAAACGTCTGAACTGGAGAAATTTATCAATATCTACTAAAACCGTGTATGGAACCTATCTCTGAATGTTCGATATTCAATGTCAAATTATTGTTCTATAACATGTATTGACATACTGAATAACTGAATGTGTTAAATAAACCCCACAAATCTTTAATGGTCATTTCTTGCGAACCTTTTTGCGGCAGAAGATATAATAATTCAGTCAGAAGTGTAGCAAATTTTACTGAGCTGCTTCTTAAAACCAAGATGTGAACCCTCCGTACCCTTATAAGTGGCAACGTACTTTTATAACAAAAGTTGTTTTGAATATTATTATAAGGTTACTTAAAATAAGAAAATTAAACATTCTGAATTGAAATAAAAAATATCATTATTTTAATCAAAATTTGATCATGAAAAAGGCAAATAAAATATACGAATTTTTATTGTGATTCGTTATTAACAACGAAAAGGGTTGTATGAAGCTACATTTAATTTATTCAATGTTTATCAGTTCAGACAACAATTTAGCAGCATTGGAGGTCCTCCTCCATTCCCTATTATATTTTTCTCTTTTAACAACATGTTGATACTTGATAGCATCAAACTATAAAAAACTGTATTTTTTACTTCAACAATAACGGTATAGTTTGACGTAAAATACCAAACATACAATTATCAAATGTTTTGTAGCGAGACAAATAGTATATTACTATAAGAGAATTGGGTGAGAATTCACTTTTTTTTGTTAATTGCTCTCATACCATTATTACCTTAATTATGTTCGATAAATATATCTCTTTTTTTAGACAAAAACAAGTACTATATAAAAATTGTTAATAATGGATATTTGATTTCTAATAAACCAGAACATGAAAGAGAACATGGTAAAATACCACCAAATGCAATTGTAAACATGAACTCTGGCTGGGCAAACAAGTACCCAGGATGCACGACTAGTGTTCGGTACAGACAACGTTACAGATCCAAGTTCCTTCCACTTTCCTGGCTGGAGTCCAGAAGCCTTGCGAGATGCTTTTACAGAAACGACAGGCATGTTTCTAATAATTATTTATTCTCTCGCATTACGTCTTGCATATATTTTTATATAAGTATTCAATACAAGAATATAACATTTATTTATTAATGTGAATTTATTTAGAACAAAAACCGTACAACACAGATAATATATACTTAGATCTTTTTGTCTTTTGATTAAAAATATAAAAAAAAACAATTAAAATATCTTGTTTTTTCGGTATTTCCAATTTAGATTAACGTTCTTGGAGTGGACACGCCTTCAACCGACCCAGCTCAGCCCCCGGTATATCCATGCCACATGTACCTCCAACCTAACAATGTCCCATTGATGGAATACGTGGCAAATCTTGATAGTATACCAGTACGTAACACGACCATTGTGCTGGGGGCAATGAAAGTTAGAGACGGTACCGGCGGACCAACCAGAGTGTTTGCTTTTATTGATGATGAAGAAGATGACGACATTACAAATTCTGTAGGGACAATACCTCCATGTGTTTGCTTAATCTTTATCATGTTTTGTTGTTTGTACATGCAGAAATTAGAAAATTGACATGGGAAAGATACATACATATATCAAATAAATGTTGACTGAATTTAGATTAGTAAATTAAAACTTTAGATTAACGATTATGTCAAAGATATGCAAATAAGAAGAACATTAATTTAGATTCAGTCATGATGAAAGTGCTTTCTCAATGATATCTATAGATGAAAAGTGATATATGAGTTGATATGTATTTACAAAGACAGGAAAGAGTACCTTATGCCTTATTTTTCTCCCGATTTTGTTCATGATAAATACGTTTTTTGTTCTTGTGAACGCGATTATACTTTGTGTTCATATTATGTATGATTTGTATAACCTGGGTACCTTATATTACATTGTATATTATACTGTTATTTCACACCTACTTTGATGTAAAGGCCCCAACAGACGGTATACATCACTTGTACACAGACCGTTATTCTTTATTATATAAATCATCATGTTTCTCCTTTTTTATAATCTCTAATATATTTTTGTTTTAAATTTGGGCTCCCCGCGAGTTTTTCAACGTTCTCTTTACTCCACCTTACTATATTTACGTTTCAGCTCTTATTATTCTCGAATTTCATTCATTATTTATACACATTATCAAGTGTGTCACTTGTCATCGTAGGAGGTCTGTACAACAAAATAGGGAATTACAAAATAGCACATGCCCTATCCTGTTAATTTGGTATTAAGGGTCACGACTTCAAGAAAAATTAACCTTCACACATTAAAGTTACATTAAATAAATTTCATAAAAACAGAAATAGCATAAGAAACTCTGCCTTCAGATCATCCGTACATCAATATTAAATCATAAGAAGCAGTCCTAATTTAACGGTATATTTCTATGGAGGGTGTTCGTTTTACATTTTCAAAAGTAGTTTTCAAAAGGAACACTTTACATGTCTGGAATTTTGGCAACGAACGCCCTCCATATATTTCCGCATTGCAACGGATGTTTTCATACAAATTTAATCTTTTTTATGAGATGATTACTTTTTACTGAACCTCAGGCCTAGTGCACCGTGAAGTTAAATTGCACAAGAAAATCTCATATTTGTTGTGTACCGGATAGCAGCTATAACACTGTGACGTAGCGCATACACAAGCTGATTATAAAATCCTTATTAATGAACAATATTTGATGAGATTTACAACAATTCTGTAAAAAAGGTTAATGAATCTGTAGAATGCTTGGTTTTTAGGACGACGGGAAAATATATTTACATATTTATTTAATGTAGCTTTAAGATTTACTTGTACAAATTCTACAGTGAATAAAGGCCTTAAAAATCAACTTCCATCGTTTTCACTGTCAATCCCTCTTACGAGTGTTAAAGGCAGGGATTAATTGCACGTCGGATTGTTAGTTAAAGGTGAAAAGAAAAGCTAAAGAAAGAAAAGTCGAAGCATTATAAACATGCGTGTGATTTCCAAATATAAATCATTATTTGACCCAATCTTGTCAATGTAGCAACGTTTTCATTTTGTCAGTCCAAAATATCCATATCAAATCTCTATTAGCTCCATCTAGCATCGGTTTTCAAATGACCATTGTATTTCGTGCAACCTCGTTTTCGTTTTCAGGGTCGAAAAATGATATCAAATAATTGTTTTACTCAGAGAAACAAAGTCCTGTCAAACTATGGTGTTGTGATTTAAACATGTGATTATACATTGTTGAATACGATACAGCTACAAAACCTATATTAGACTCGGCTAATCGCCTAATGAAATTCTGTATTGTACACAACAAGAGATGATAACATGATAAAATTCCAGTTACATGTACATGTATGTAATCTGCACTGAAAATATACACGCTGTATGCTTTATAACATACCAAAGGTCCATTAGACATCGGCATGTAATTATTTTCATTTCTCAAAAGCTTTCCTTTTCTGTGTCCTGTTCCTGTATCCAAAATAAAACTCTTATGCCATGAAGCAGAATCATGTTTTGCTTCTTCTGTTCCATTGCAATTTATATAGTGATAGTAATGTAATATTTTGCATGGACGTCAAAAGACCATTTTGTTTACATTTTGCAACCTTTATTTTAAATCATTTTACAGTCAGCGCTAAGTCTCTCCAGAGATACACTAACATGCTTCAAATAAATCCACGAACTACACATTACTTAACTCAGGTTTGCCCCTTCTAAAAAAGAAAAAAGGCAGTCTTGAGGACAGCTTTAACCCCTTCCGCAGCGGACCTGAATGTGTACTTCTTGACCTTTAACCAACCATGACCTTGATGTTGTGTCAAGCATACCATAAACACATATGCTCATCTCAGTTATTGACCAATTATCTTCCATATTCAGGTCCTCTTATCATGTTTGACCTTTTAGGTCAAGGTCATGATAACCATTGGTTATTTTAGAATTCATATAGTGACAAGTTTCTTACATATTTGGTTGTATCATGGCTTAAGAAAAATTGCTGTTCCGTGGACTTTAGTGATATGTCCTCTTTTATCTTATTATATTTTGATTGTGAATGATGGATTATTTGTTATAGTTTTGATGTTTTACAAATCATTCATGTGAGAATAACAAAATTGCTGGTTTTGATATAACCTTGACCTTGGAGGTAGCCACCTGGTTGTTGTCTACTGTAGGTGATGATGGTGATCATTTTTGTCAATATAATTACAAAATTTCAGAAGTTAAAAAGTTATGAACAGGACACAAAAAATTTGACTTTTAACATTTGACCTCTATGCGTGACCTTGACCTTGGTGATAGCAACCAGAATATTGCGCTCAAAACATCATGTCATTATGTGTGAACATGTCTGAACATGATCTACGAGGATTGATAAAAAAAGTCCTTGGTCCGATGTACTTCCGGTAGTCAGAGAACCCAACAAATGGTCTTACTTTTTCAATATAATCGCCCTCTACATCAATGCACTTTGTCCGCCTGTGCTCCAACGTGTTTAGTCCTTCAAAACAGAACTCTCTATTTTGGTCCTCCAAGAACTCATTGACCGCAGGAGCAAAACGCCCTGAGTCAGTTTGCCCCTCTTTTTACGCGCGATTTCTTAACGCAGACGTCTCAATTCGTCTCCATAGTACGTACCGTTTATGCTACGACCTTGCTCAAGATAGTCAATTATGATTATCCGCTGACTATCCCCAAAAAATTGAATCCATTATCTTCCCTGCTGATAGCACCCTCTTGAATTCCTTTCATCACTTGATCCAGAATCCACTGCATGCTCTGTTTTTAATTCTGAATTAAAGTGATGGACCCATGTTTCATCCTGAGTTACGATCCGTTAGATAAAATTCTGTTCGTCCTTGTAGCGAGACAAAGCTTATCTTGAATTGTCAAGCCTGGTCTGTTTATGGTCGTCAGTCAACTGTCTGAGGACCAATCTAGCGGGAACCTTTGACATGCCACAGACATCAGTCAGAATTGCCTTAACTGACCCACAAAACTGAACTTACAGCCACTTCCCTAGCAATATTTCACAGGTCTCGCCTTCTGTTGCACATGACTAGATCGTGCACAGCTTCGGCAGTTCCATCGTTGGTGGCCTCTTTTGACCGCCCAGGCCGCTCATCCTATCCAATGCTTTCCCTGTCCCTCTTAAATTTAGCAGCCAATTTTTTCGCAGTGCTATAAGACGGGGACTCCTTGTCAAATGTACCCAAGAAGTTTTCATGGATTTCCTTGGGGACATCCCTGTTTTACAGAGGTACTTAATGACGGCTCTCATTTTAACTTTCTCCATTTGGTCTAAATGACACATCCCTCTACTGATCAAAGTGTGTTTTATGTTACTTAATCTGTGTAAAACCGCGTGTAACTTGGTCAGTAATCTTCAATAAAATATCGGTATCGGCGTATCGTGTGAAAATGTCAGGGTAGTGGCTACAAGTATATCGAGCAGAGAACCTCGTATATGACTAGCGAGCAATGTTTCGAGAATTGAAATAGGACATCAAAATTTAAATGCAAATAGCATTTTGTTTGGCATAATACCTTCATTAGGTCAGATATTAACATACCTATATCACTATAAACTTCTATGTATTATCGTGAAAATCGCGAGAGATGGTAGAAGAACCAAATGAGCCGCGTCATGACAAAACCAACATAATGGGTTTGCGACCAGCATGGATCCCGACCAGCCTGTGAATCCGCGCAGTCTGATCAGGACCCATGCTGTTCGCTATCAGTTTCTCTACTTGTAAAAGAGTTTGTAAGCGAACAGCATGGATCCTGCCATGCTGGTCGCAAACGCACTATGTTGGTTTTGTCATGACACGGCTCAAATGTAGTCCTTATTTGTTACACTTTATACGTTACTGGAGGTTAAAATCTTGGAACATTTTCGTAACGGATGCGACCCCTAAAATAGTCAAAATCAACACTGTTTCCTGAATAAATGCAAGTCAATAGTGCTTCACCGAATTTAAAATAACATAAATGCAAGACACAGTATTATATGCGTACCATAGCGTACAATAACCTATTTTGACATACATATCGGTTTACATAACTACCTTTTTCATATTACAAATGCATCCGTTTTTATTATATGAATTGATTTATCAGAGTTGAAGTCTTCTTTACAAGCGATTTACCGTCAATATTATAATAGCAAGATTTTACGCAAGTTAGTTGTTATTTATAAATGCTTTTATTTAGGAGTTAGCAGCAATTTGATACCCTTTGAAGAATCACTTTTGGTTGTCTCCCATTAACTACCATTTAACTAAAGTTCTAATGAGTAAGGTATTGTTTAATTAAAATTATTACGAGTATTGAAAACGGTAACTCAATTATTCTAACATACAGTATCATAAACTTGAATTTGTACAATTTTGAGTATCATCTTGTATTTTTGTTTCGAATAAAGTAAAACAAGCGAGCATACAACTTGTCTACTTGCTATAAAGATCTATAGTTTCTTATGTGGCAACTTGAGTCACACCTAGTATTGTTTTTATGATTATTGCGGTTATTAGAATACTATAATAAGCAAAGTGATATATTAACATACGTAAACATAATCGAATATGTAGTTCATAATAAAGTGTTATTGATATCCTGAGTTTTATGGGTGGAATTGCTATGATTCTCTACAGTTTCGAGTGTTTTCTTGCTACCATTTTATACTGTGTTAAATATCTAATAGCAGTTATTTGAACTTATTTCTATCACTTTCAGTTACTATATGTTCTGCAAGTTAAACTGTCTACTTGCTATCATTTTCTAAAGTATCAAATATCAATTTTCCTCTAGTTCAAAGTATCGTCAAGCCAGTAGGTCCAATCTACGTCAAGTATTGTTTCAACTTGTGAATAACATGTTCACATTGTGTTATAATATAAGACAACAACCAGTGAATCATAAATAAAACACAACAAATTCAATCTTATAATATTTATTTAGACACAATTTAATTTCAAGAGGATATTTTTTCGTTTAAGTGAACTACGGAATATATTTTCATGAAACATGATAAACTTCTTTTACGTGAGTGAAATAGATTTCATTTTATTATGCTATGTAAATTTATCTTCTTTTGAAAAATAAATCTTTTTAATTTTTCGCTTGTCTAAATTTGCATAAAACTACGCCACTCGTGAGAATAATGTTTTTTAAGCCCACTCGATGACATAAAATTTCATCTTACACACAAACAAACAAACATCCTCTATTTATTTACAAGAAATGATAAATTCGGTTATACGTTTATAAATAATGCTTTTTGGAACCTATAATATTGATAAACCTTAATTTGAGCATCATATTTATGATTTTAAACCATGAAAAAATTATGTTACAGGATCTTAAATTATATTAGTTAATCTGCTTTTCTAGTTATCTGGACACAGTTATTAGCTCGAACACGTAAATAAATCACCAGAGTCAATTAACGTAAGATGTCATTTGATTACGCAAGTTAAAAAGCATTTTGTCGCCATGTAATGATTCATAGTCGAATAAGAATTATTGTCGTGTTTTATGCTTGTTACACTTTGATATTCTGTACGGAAGCGTATCAGGGCCTACGGAAGCTTCAAAGGGTCACCTCTTACGCGATCTTTTGTGAGAAGATTTACGCAAAATTAAGGCGTAAAGGCATGATATTGTCAGTGTTTTCGCAGAAAATAATTCGAATAAACGAGAAAATTTTAGCTAATTGGCCATTTTTCTTGTTGCAAAAATAGAAACATTGCACATGACGAGTAATATTTTGACGAGAAAGTAAGAAAAGGTATTTTTCGAAAAACATGTAGACGCAATACGTCTTACATTTTACTTTCTCGAAAAAAATTAT